TGCCTGAAGTTTTATTATTAACTAGTCTCAGGGGCTCCCGGGTGGCTCAGTTGGTTAAGCGTCCGACTTCGGCTCAGGTCATGATCTCACAGCTCGTGGGTTCGAGCCCCGCGTCGGGCTCTGTGCGGACAGCTCGGAGCCTGGAGCCTGCTTCGGATTCTGTGTCTCCCTCTCTCTCTGCCCCTAACCCACTCGCATTCTGTCGCTGTCTCTCTCAAAAATAAATATAAAAAAAATTTTTTTTAAAAACAACTAATTTCATCTGAATGCTGTGCTATAACTATTACATTTCATTATCACTAATTACTCTAACTTTACTTTGTATAATGCATCTAATATGTGTAAGGACTTTGCTGGACCCAGGGAAAGAGTGATAAACGGAACCTGATGTCTGCTCTTGACTTTACGTTAAATGTAAGTATCAGGTATCTTCCAGGTGCAAAAGAGTGTCCCGAATGCTTTAGCTCAGGAGTCAGTGAACTTATTCTTAAAGGTCAGATAGCACATGTTTTAGTCTTTGAGAGCCATTCAGTCTGTCTCAGCCACCTTCACCAAGTCATGTGAAAGCAGCCATAGATAATCCACAAACGACTGGGCATGACTGTGTTCCAATAAAACTTTATTTATAAAAACAGGCACTTGCCCAGATTTGCCTCTGGGGGTGGATGGCCGAGACCTGCCTTAGATGTACTTGGTCATTCAGTGCTCACAGCCCACCCTCGAGGGGGAGCAGCAGCATCCCATTTTATTAATGTATTTATTTAGCAGGGTTATTGTAGTTTTATTGCATTTATCACACATACCGTAACAAAGCTTTGAACATAATTAATGAATATTCTATGACCTTCATGTAGATGACTCCTTGGCGTCTTTTAATTTATCAATGTTGTCAGATTGTGGCAAGAGGATAGTTTAAAGGGACTCAAAGTTCTTCCACAGGAGACTGATTAAATACAGTCAGATCTTAAAATGAAGCATTTTGAAAGCTGTTACCAGGCTGTGATAGATAGATCTATGTGAAAAGATCTCCAGTAAGTTTTTTGTTTTTTGTTTTTTTTTTTAAATTTACATCCAAATTAGTTAGCATAGAGTGCAACAATGATTTCAGGAGTAGATTCCTTAATGCCCTTTACCTATTTCGCCCATCCCCCCTCCCACAACCCCTCCAGCAACCCTCAGTTTGTTCTCCGTATTTAAGTCTCTTAGGTTTTGTCCCCCGCCCTGTTTTTATATTCTTTTAGCTTCCCTTCCCTTATGTTCATCTGTTCTGTGTTTTCAAGTCCTCATATGAGTGAAGTCATATGATATTTGTCTTTCTCTGACTAATTTCCCATAATACCCTCTAGTTCCATCCGTGTAGTTGCAAATGGCAAGATTTCATTCTTTTTGATTGCCGAGTAATACTCCCTTGTATATATATACTACATCTTCTTTATTCGTTCATCCATCGATGGACTTTTGGGCTCTTTCCATACTTTGGCTCTTGTCATCAGAGCGTCATCCCATTTTAGAAGGGGAAGCTTAAACTGGATGGAAGGTAAGTCACTTAGCCAGTGACTACCGAAACTGGCGTCTGAATGCCCAATTTCCCTGTTACAGAAACAAGCATCACGCTAACTCTGACATCAGTGGTGCAGACTCTGGAGCCAGAATGGTGGGGTTCGGCTCCTGACTTCTTCACTCACTACTTGTGGGAGCTTGCGCCAAGGGCACGAATCCCCCCGCCTCCTCTCTTCGTCTGTAAGATGGGATCAGCATGGTGTCTCATCTTAGTAAGGTGTAAAGGAGGCAGTGGAGAGGAGCCTGGTGCAAAGTCATTGAACAACTGCTCCCTCTTATGATTACAAGGCAAATGTGGACGAATTATGGGGAGTGGGTGCGGGTGAAAGAAGGGTCGACAGAGAGGCATCCCGCCCAGAGGCAAGTCAGAAGAGAACTGGGAAAGGACAGTGGGGATTGATGCCATAGGCAGGGCAGTGCTTCCCCAGCCCTGATGTTTCCTTTCCTGCAGGAGGAGTGCCACTAGCGTGACCCCCTGGCCTCTCGCCTCTCACACCTCTGACCCCAGGCGGGTCGGGTCCGTGGTTTAATCCGATGCTGAGTTTGGATGGAGAACTGGTTGGGTTAGCTCCGCCCCCTTTGCTCACGTGGGAGCCAGCCAAGAGCACGTGCTGCCAAAGCTTTTTATTGACAAGCTTCAAGTCAATGTCCTGCCCTTGCGCTGACGTCCTCGGGTGGGCCTGGGCCGCCTGTCTCTGTGGGATGAGCCTGGCCAGCCTGGAGTTCAGTACCAAGAACCTCACCGCTTCATTAGGGCTGGTTTGCTTGGTCTCCATTTGTCTCATCCTTTTTTCCCCCCTCCTTATTTGTCATTTGGGTCAAGCCAGTCCTGCTGAGTCCCTTAGCACTTTGGAGCTCTATAACGATTGTAGGCACTTACCCAACTGAGCCCCCCAGATGCCCCCCCAAAAAGTATCTTTTGCAGCTGGTTTACCCAAACCAAGATGCAATCCAGGCCCCGGGCACGGAATTGGGTTGTTATGTCATTCTGGTCTTTTCCAGTCTAGCTCAGTCCCTTCTTCCTTTCTCCGTGCCTTGTTAAACAGGCCAGGCCAGTTGTCCTGAAAGATGCCTTTTTGGGGGGATGTGTATGACTGTTTACGCATTCTCCAGGATTTTAGATGTTAAAAAAATTAATTCATAAAAAGTGAAACCAGACACACACACACACACACACACGAGATCACTGTGAGAACCCATGGCACCTCTCAGCGAGCCGTATTTAGCTACCAGTGCCCAACCTGCAATGCTGGGGCTGAGTCTCTGCAGCAGGAATCCGAAGCCACTGAGACATTCCAAGAAGGTGAGTGACAGGAATTGTGTTCTAGAAAAATGGCTTTTGGGGTGCCTGGGTGGCTCGGTTAAGCGTCTGACTTCGGCTCAGGTCACGATCTCACGGTTCGTGGGTTCGAGCCCCGCGTCGGGCTCTGTGCTGACAGCTCGGAGCCTGCAGCCCCCTTCGGATTCTGTGTCTCCCTCCCTCTCTGCCCCTCCTCCGCTCATGCTCTGTCTCTCTGTCTCTCTCGCTCTCGCTCTCACTCTCAAAAATAAAATAAAAACATAAAAAAATTTTATAGAAAAATGACTTTTGTGGCAAGAAGGGAATAGGAGAGATTGATGGGGACCAAGACGCTGGGTAAGTGACGAGTTAGGAGGCCAACATAGTGCCCCAGCATATCCCGAGGCATAGTGACCCCGAACGCCTGGGTTCAAATCTCCAACTCATCTCTTAGCTCTGTGAGCATGAGAAAGGCACTAGAGCTCTGAGTCTACCTGTGTGAAACGAGAACATAGTAGCACCTGCCTCACAAAGTAGCTCCGGGGACTCAGTTAGCAAATGGCTGTAAAGTACATAGAACAGTTCTCAGCACACAGCAGGGTCCATGGAAGTGTTTGCTATGATCGTTTTCCCCCAGCTTAACTGAGGTGTAATTGACAAATAAGATGGTAATATATTTAAAATATACAAAGGGATGGTTTGCTGTTGTATACACTGTTAAATGATTACCATAAGCAAGGTGACACCTTCATCACCTCACAGCTACCTTTTATGTGTGTGTGAGAACCCTTAAGATCTGCTCTCTTAGTGAGGCACCGGGGTGGCTCAGTCGGTTAAAGGTCCAACTTCAGCTCAGGTCATGACCTCGAGGTTCATGAGAGTTCAAGAGCCGCAGGGGCTCCACACGGACAGCACGGAGCCTGCTTGGGATTCTCTCTCTCTCTCTCTCTCTCTCTCTCTCTCTCTCTCTCAAAATAAATAAACTTTAAAAAATCTACTCTTTCAGTAAATTTCAAGTATAGACAGTAATATGGTATTATTTTTTTTAATTTTTTTGAACGTTTATTTATTATTGAGAGACAGAGAGACACAGAATGGGAGCAGGAGAGGGGCAGAGAGAGGAGGAGACACAGAATGCGATGCAGGCTCCAGGCTCCGAGCTGTCAGCGCAGAGCTGGACGCGGGGCTCGAACTCACAAACTGCGAGATCATGGCCTGAGCCGAAGTTGGTCACCCAACTGACTGAGCCACCCAGGCGCCCCAGTAATACGGTATTACTAACTATAGTCACCATGCTGGACTTTACTTCTAACTGTAAGATGTACCCTTTGACCTGCATCTCCTCATTCTGCCCCCGCCCTAAAGACACCCCCGCCCCCCGCCAACCCCTGGTAACCATCATTTTACTCTCTGTTTCTATGGGTTCAGTTAGAAAAAAATTCTCCCTGCAAGTGATACCATATAGTAATGAGCTCCCTCTGTCTGGCTTATTTCACTCAGCATAAAACCTTTCAGTTTCATCCATGCTGTTGCAAATGGCAGGATTTCCTGCTTCTGTATGCCTGAATAATATTTCAGAGCATGAACATCCCAGAATATCCCGTTATAATATATAGGGGAAATATATATATATATTCCATGATATATATTCCAATATAATATTTCCTTATGTATCACATATACTTTCCCTTTATCCATTTGTCACCTGGTGGTTACTTAGGTGTTTGCATATCTTGTCTTTCGTGAATAACACTGCCCTGAACACGGGAGTGCAGATATTTATTCCAGACGGTGATCCCATTGCGTTTGGGTGCTGTTGTGATCGTGCCAGACGAACAACTTGCCCAGGTCCGTGTGCCTGGTTCGAGAAGCCAGACTTTCTGACTTCCGTTTACTCCTCTTTCCACTCAAGGCTATATATGGAAAATAAAATTACCCAAAGCAAAAAAAAAAAAAAAAAAAAAAAAAAAAGATAAAGAAACAAGCTGAATATTTGTATCAACTTAACTCAGTTTCAGCTGTAATCTGGAAAATCAAGATTTTGTCAGATGTATTCAAGTTTCGTAGAAGCATTCACTTGTTTTTAAATTTCATCCACCAACTTGAAAAAATGGCAGCATCATGGAAAAAAAAACACCTCAAGAACTATATTGTTGCCAGATTTATATTTCAGTTATAAATGTAACGGAAATATTTTTGTATTTTTTTCTAATAATAAAAGTAAGGCATGATCATTACAGAAAATGTTTACAGTATGAAGAAAATAAACATCAGAAAATAAACCAGAAAATAAACATCACTCGCACCTTTACTCTTCCTCAGCTAAGGACCTGAATGGTGTGAGTGCATACCCTTTCAGTATTTTACGTACACATGAAACTATTCTTTGTTTTATATTGTTCGCTGTTTTCTATGTTTGTGGCAGATGCTGTTGGCTGTTTACACAACACAGCAACTATTCTGTTCTTTCTTGTTCACAGAACCATGACTGTGTCTGGGTGTTTTTCTTCAGAGTGAAGGCTGGACCCACCCTTGTCCCAGAAGGTAAAGTTTGATTCATCTAACACGCAAATCTGGATGTCCCATTATCCTTGCCAGTGATCAGTTTAGAATAACATTTCTCAACCTCAGGACTTTCGACATTTGGGGCTGGATCATTCTGTTGTAGGGCTGCCCTGTGCTTGTAGGATGTTTGGCCTCTACCCTCTAGATGGGGTACGCCACCCTCCGCCCCCATCCACCCTAGCTGGGACAACAGAACATGTCTCCAGGCATTGCAAACATCCTCTGGAGAGCAAAAACCCACCTGACCGACCACCAGTAGCTTAGAAATAAGTAGGTGATGCAATCCTGGTCAATGAGCCATGTTGTGACATATCTATGTTACTCTTCTTAATGACTTCATAGTATTCCATAGTGAAAACAGACCGTCATTTATATAACCATTTATGTAACCACTAATGATGGCCATTTCCTTCTTGGCTGTCTGCTGTTCTGGTTGGTCAACGATACGACTTTCTATATTTGCACACTTGTGGAAAGGAATTTATAGAATAAACGCCTGGAAGTGGAATTTGTGAGTTGGAGACTGTACGCAAATTGACATTTCAATAGATGTCACCAATATGTTCCAAAATGTTCCAAAAAGTCAATGCTGGTTTACCCATTAAGTGAGTACTTATTTCCATAGACCTTCACTAACTGAGAGAGAAAATCTGTTAAAAAAAATTTTTGTTTGAGGGGCACCTGGGTGGCTCAGTCGGTGGAGCGTCTGACTTCGGCTCAGGTCGTGATCTCGCGGTTCGTGGGTTCGAGCCCAGGGTCGGGCTCTGTGCTGACGGCTCGGAGCCTGGAGCCTGCTTCGGATTCTGTGTTTCCTTGTCTCTCTCTGCCCCTCCCCTGCTCACACTCTGTCAACCTGTCTCTCAAAAAATAAACATTTAAAAAATTTAAAAAAAAATTTTTTTTTGCATTTCAAATATATTAAAAAATGGTTATTGAAGACCGATTTTCTTAGTGAGGGAATAATATTGCATTGAGGTACCAAAATTTATTTATATTCCCCTAGTATGAGCATTCAGTTGATTTTTATTTTATATTGAAGGTTTTTTTTTAAACATAAAGGTTTTTCATAATTGTGACAATTCACCGACAGACTTTTTAAAAATAATTTTTTTAAAATCTGTCTTCTGTCACTGGTTTTACGATTATTTAATCTATGTTTCTATAAAATGACATTTCTCTGGAGAAGACTTCTCCATTAGACACAGCAGGCCCACAAAATAGTTTTGGGGTCTTTTTTGTTTTGTTTTGTTTTTTATTTTTTTAAGTAATCTCTCCGCCCACGTTTGAGGCTCAAACTCAGGACCCAGAGATCAAGAGTCACAGGTTCCACAAACGGAGCCAGCCAAGGTGTCCTAGTTTTAGTATCTATTACAATCAGAAGTATCTATTTAAAATCTATTAAAATCATGACCTTTTAGATTGAAGAAAAAATGTTAATACTTAAAATTAATATATTTGTTTTTCTACCAATGCAGTTATACAATATAGTTTATTTTATTTTATTTTTTTATAAACGAAAGAACCATGGAAGTCATATTACAGCCCTACCTAATTTTAGCACGTTTGTTCAAAACACATGGATCAAATCAAACACATAGTCACTTCCATGTGGAATAAGAATTAAAGCAGCAACTTGAATCTCAGAGTGTAAAATATTTAGATAATTTTCCATCAACGGTGATCTATTTGCTTAATTTTTTTGTTTATGTTTATTTATTTTTGAGAGAGAGTGGGGGAGGGACGGAGAGAGGGGGAGACACAGAATCCGAAGCAGGCTCCAGGTTCCGAGCCATCCGTACAGAGCCCGACGCGGGGGCTCGAACTCACAAACGGCGAGATCGTGACCTGAGCCGAAGTCGGACGCTTAACTGACTGAGCCACCCAGGTGCCCCTATTTACTTTATTTTTTAATAGATGTGTTTCATTTTTACAACTCTGGACTTATTCTGGGCATTTCTGGTTTTATTCATTTATTCACCCAACAAATTTAGGTACAAAATTAGAAGAGAGTAACCTGAGGGGTGCCTGGCTTGCTCAGTCCAAGGAGCATGCACTCTTGATCTCGGGGTTGTGAGTCCCAGCCCCATGTTGGGTGTAGAGATTACTTAAATAAATTTGAAACAAAAACAAAAACAAAAACAAAACCCTTAAAAAAAAGTATTAAAAAAAAAGAGAGAGAGAGTAGAGAGTAGCCTGAGAAGGACCTTGGAGGCAGATGAATGGATGTGGATAATTAACAAATCACAAAGTTGCAGGTTTCTCTTAAAACTTAAAAATGGAGTTCCCAGCATCAATTTTTTGTTTTTTTGTTTTTTTTGTGTAAATATATTTGGAGAAAGGAACCAGAGAACAGGAACAGAGCTGGTGGGAAAAGGCTACACCAGGCGCAGAGCAGTTCTGAGGGCAAAGGCTAAGCTGAGAAGGCTCTGATGCCCCCATAGCTGCTCTGTGCAGGTGACACAGTTAAATGACCTACCTTCTTCCCTGGTATTAGAACACTTTCGGTTACAGTATTGTGGTGAATCATTTCCTTCCAAGGCTCAGGGTGATCTATCACACGGGTGCCTTGTGTAGATTTTAACAATATGAGTAAAAAAGTTTCCTCATTCCAGAAATACAAAACAAATTACATAAGAGATGTGTCCTCTAAAAAAAAAAAAAAAAATCCACATACAAGTGTAATAACTGGGAAGGAAAATTAATGCATGGGAAGACACATCTGTAAAAAGAAAAAGTAATAAAAATGCTTGTCGAAAAAATGAGTTTTCTCTCCCCTTGTCTAATTTATAAGAGTGAAATTCTTTTCTTGCAGGCAGGAACTGGGCTGGGGGCGGGTGGGGGAGGGAGTCTGGGTGGATTTGCCTTTTCTGAGCCGTGCAGGATTTCACTAGGGACCCAGTGAATAAGGAAAGGTGATGGTTTAGAAACACTGGCCCTGGTGTATTACTGCATGAATTTTTGGTGCGAAATCAATACCTTGGTTGTCCTTGAAAACCCTATAGGTCTGTTTTTAATAGCTGGCTACATGGCTGAAATTACACTGATTACTTAGCAAAGCCTCACCTTTGATCCACTGATCTAGTTAGGGACGTGTGACAGAAGAGAGATCATTAACAAATTAAAAGAAGGAAGGGAAAGCTACAAGTTACAGAAATACAGGAAGTCTGAGGTTTGTCCGTTGTTGAAACATTTCATACCGTCTTTTAAGAGTCACAGCTCTCTGTGGGCTTTCTTTGGATGACAAAGTACTGAGAACAACAACAACAAAAGCAAACTCGCATACAGTTCAAACTCCAGAACAGTGGATCAATATTCCAAATTAAGGAATGGCGGCCGACATTGTTTTCCACCTCATTCTCTCAAGAGATAGCTATGCCTTAAAAGGTTTCTATTTCCCATCTGTATGACAGTAACACCAAGGTTTGCTCTCATTAAAAAGTGCGCCCTTTAAAGTTTTATTTGTCATAATTAATAGACCGCAGAAAGTCCAGAAGGTTGCCATATGCACCCCACCCCTCCCCTGCATAATTTCCTCTTTATTAACCTCTTGCATTCGTGTGGCACATTTGATACAACTGATGGACCGATACTGATACCTGATTATTAACTAACATCCATCGATTACATTAAGGTTCACCCTTTATGTTGTAGTTCTATAGATTTTGAAAAATGCATAATGGTATATACCCACCATACACCATCATCCAGAACAGGTTCACTGCCCTTAAAAATCCTCCCTTTGTGTTTTGCTAGCATCCATTCTGAATTCTGTACTTTTTTCTTTTCTTACAAACAGAAGTCTCACATATTTGTTACTGAACAAACCTACTAGTGCAGAAGCATAGGAACAGAGAAAAATCATTTCCCTGATAAAATATGTCTATTCAGGTAGCAGTCATGTTTACAGAATGATAGGATACAAGCATGTGACTTTCATGCGGCATAAATATGTGTCTCATCTCATGTGTGATCTCTTACAGACCCAGCCTGGTACTTCTCCAATGCCTCCTCTTGGAGTTGTACTTTTATTTCATTTCATTTCATTTCATTTCATTTCATTATTTTCTTTAAATATTTTTAATGTTTTATTTATTTTTAAGACAGAGAGAGACAGAGCATGAGCAGGGGAGGGGCAGAGAGAGAGGGAGACACAGAATCGGAAGCAGGTTCCAGGCTCTGAGCTGCCAGCACAGAGCCCGATGCGGGGCTCAAACTCACAAACTGCGAGATCATGACCTTAGCCGAAGTCAGGCGCTTAACTGACTGAGCCACCCAGGAGCCTCTGTACTTGTACTTGATTTTATTACTAGTTTTCATCTGAATCCACTGGGGAATGGGACAATTCTGGTTTTGTTTCCTGGCCAGGAATAGCTTGATCCTAAAAGTCTTGTGAGAAGATCTGGCAAGGGGCACCTGGGTGGCTCAGTGGGTTGAGCGCCTGACTTTTGATTTCCGCTCAGGTCATGATATCTGGGGTTGGGGGATCGAGCCCCACACTGGGCTCTGCGCTGAGTCTGGAGCCTGCATAAGATTCTCTCTCTCCCTTCCTCTGCCCCTCTCCCCCACTCACATTCTCTCTCTAAAATTAAAAATTAGATGGGGCGCCTGGGTGGCGCAGTCGGTTAAGCGGCCGACTTCAGCTCAGGTCACGATCTCGCGGTCCGTGAGTTCGAGCCCCGCGTCGGACTCTGGGCTGATGGCTCGGAGCCTGGAGCCTGTTTCCGATTCTGTGTCTCCCTCTCTCTCTGCCCCTCCCCCATTCATGCTCTGTCTCTCTCTGTCCCAAAAATAAATAAACGTTGAAAAAAATTTTTTTTAAATTAAAAATTAGAAAAAAAAAAAAAGGTAAAGAAAAAGACATAGCGAGTAACAATTAACCACTCCCACCACCATGGCGGAGAAAAGGCTAAATTCTGTACTTTCAACGTAATTGCCATTCCCCTCCCCCCTTTTTTCCTTCTCCAAGGGACGTTTATTTTAGGAATAGATGACAGCTGATTCTCCTTTCTGGCAGAGACCCACAGAACGCCACTTTGTTTGGCTGCAACTCACATATCTCTGGAAGATCTCCTCTCCTGGTGTATTTTTGCCCAGACAGGAAAATACCAAAACTTGCTTTGCCAAATACCCAAGAGGAAGCCCCTTTCCTCCAAATGACCGAGCGAACAAGCCAGAAACTGGAAGGGGTGTGTCCCACGAGCATCTGCCCCTCACCAGGTTTTATAGTTGCACATCCTGATTATATATTTTTTGTAATTTATCATTTTTTTTTTTAGCAATTTTCTAAGTAACCTCAACACCCCACATGGGGCTTGAACATGTGACCCCGAAATCAGGAGTCACGTGCCCCCCTGACGGAGCCAGCCAGGTGCCCCTGATTATCTTACGAAGCTGCAAGGACACAGAATTGTTTGTTGCTATCTCTGAAGATGTGACATCTTGCTCCCGATCCCCTTCGTTGTCGCATGCCTGTCTAGCGTTGAGCTCCTAAGCCTACGGTTGTGACCAAAGACGTGTCAACTGAGGGTGTAGATGCTAGAGGGGTTAGATAGTCTTTGGTTAGACAATGCAGGCTATGAACAGTAGAAAACTAGGGGCGCCTCGGGGGTTCGGTCGGTTAAGCATCTGATTCTTGATTTTGGCCCAGGTCACGATCTCATGGTCCGTGGGATTGAGCCCCGTGTTGGGCTCTGCACCGACAGCATGGACCGTGCTTGGGATTCTGTCTCTCCCTCTGCCTCTTCCCTTCCCCCGCTCGCTCTCTCTCAAAAATAAATAAACATTAAAAAAAAAAAAAAAGAATTCCACTAGCTAGGGGCGCCTGGCTGGCTCAGTCAGTGGCGCATGATCTTGGGGTTGTGAGTTCAAGCCCCATGTTGGGTGTAGAGATTACTTAGAAAATTAAAAATCTTAAAAGAAAAAAAGAATCCCACTAGATACATCCCAGCAATTCTATCACTTTCCTGGTTCAACCCCTCATCACGTCTTGCATTGCTTCTCGGAGAGCTCTGCTCTCAGAGCTGGATTCATTGTTTCTATTCTCCCCCACCCCCTTTCAGTCTGTTCTTAAAATAGGGAAATCTGTTAAAAGAAGCCAGACCGGAACACCTCTCACCACACAACCGCGCTGGCTCCCGTCTTGCTCAGGCTTGGACCCCAGTCCTTATGATGGACTGACTGCGTGGCATCTGGTCCCGCGTGCTTTCTGCCCTCGTCCGCTCTGCTCCCATCACCCCAGGTCCTCGTCTTGCCAGGAATACACCGGGCACGGTCCCTCCTCAGGCCTTCGAATGTACTGTGTCACCTGCTCCTATAGTCAGAGTAAACATGTTAGGCATTTGGGCCACGTGGTCGCTGGGGCAATAATTAACCCTTCCGTTGCCATGCCAAAGCAACCGCAGACCGCAAACAACGAGCGGCGCTGTGTGCCAATAAAACTTTATTTATGGACGCTGAAAGGGGCTGTCCTGTGATTTTCATGTGTCACGAGATTTTGTCCTCTTTAAAAATGGTTTTATTCCAACAGGCTGGAAATGGAAAAAGCATGCTTATTAGGCAGTGGGCTGGATGGGAGCCCTCGGTCCCTCGTGCGTCAACCCCTGCTTTAGGGAGAACTTCCCCGGCCGTCTGCCCGGACGTCGTACGCACGCGCGCACATGCACACGTCCACACGCTCCCCATTTTTCCTATCCCGTCTTAATAGCGTGTCCCAAGTGGACGCCCCACACGAAGCCGGAAGCTGGGTGGCAACTAGTCTCAAGCATGGTCTCCAAGGTGCCTTTTCGGAGCAGACGCTCGGGGCAGGCGTCAGGCTTTATGCTTCGAACGTGCCAGACATAGACTGCTTTCCAGCTGAGAGCAGGGGTGAGCGTGGGGGAGACGACAGGTTTGCGGAGGACGGTGTCGTGTGGTTTGGCAGGGATGCGGTTCGGTTCCCAGACCTGGGTCTGCCTCGGAATAACCTGACGGGATTTTCCAGAAACGGGGTCTCTCAGGCTGCACGCCACACTGCCCAACATCAGAATCCCTCGAGAGTCAGGCAGTTGGAGAGATTAAATCCAGACCGCACCAGATACTGACTACGTGACCTTGGACAAGGTACTTAATGTTTCTGAGTGTTTACTGCAAAGCAGAGATCATAATGACCTCATAGAATTGTCACGAGGGTTCCATGAGCTAATGTAAGTGAATCGCTGCGCACAGTGCTTGGCACATTGTTTTTGCGGTAAATAGCAGGTATTGCTCACTTTTCATTAGAAAGACATGTGCACTGTGGAATAAGTAATGACATAGAGATCAGCAAGAATCAGGCAAAAAATAAGGTCATTCTAGTTCCCCAAAATAACTACTGATAATGTTCTGGTGTACGTCCTTCCAGATCTTGATCTCTCTGTGTGCTTTTTTTTTTTTTTTTCTAACACACTACCTACAATTGGGTTGCCCTGTCATCTTATTCCACCCCAAGGAATCAACTCTGAATTGGATCAAGGTGGTAAGTCTAACTGTTGATTTATGGGGAACACAGAAGACAGAGAAGCATGTTGACTGACCATGAGGGGTTGCCATCAGCAGAGTTTAAATTTTTTTCTGCTGATTTATTTTTGAGGGGGGGGGCAGGTGTGAGTGGGGGAGGTGCAGAGAAAGAGGGAGACACGGAATCCGAAGCGGGCTCCAGGCTCCGAGCTGTCAGCACAGAGCCCGACGCGGGGCTCGAACCCACGGACCGGGAGACCGTGACCTGAGCCGAAGTCAGATGCTTCACGGACTGAGCCACCCAGGCACCCCTCCATCGGCAGAGTTTAAAATGTGTGGCTCTCTACATGACAAACACCCTCAGCTTCTTCAACAAATAAGTTGCAAGGAAAAAGGGGGTCGGGCATCCTCTAGAGCGGTGCTGTTCCGTTGGAGCAGAACTTCCGGCAACGATGGAAATATTCTCTGTCTGCACCGTCCCGCGTGGTAGGTGCTATTCCACAGCATAAGCGGCCGTTGAACCCTTCAAATGTGGCTTGTGTGGCTGACTGAATTTTTTATTTAATTAAAATAAGTTTATTTAAATAGCCACATGTGGCCAGTGGCTACGGTGCTGAGCTGTGCAGCCAGATTAAAAGGTACTTAGAGGCATGCCGTCCGACCACACTGGAAAGACCTTTTCGGTTCCTCCCATCCAGGTACTAACCAGGCCCAATCCTGCTTAGCTTCCGAGAGTGGGCGAGAGCGGGCGAGAGCGGGCACCTTCAGGGTGGTATGGCCCTAGACAAGACCTTGATGGTTTCTCAAACAGATGAACTTAAAAAAACCAAACCAAACCAAACCAAAAAAACTGCGAGACAATGAAGGAAATTTCTTTTATTTTATTTTATTATTTTTTTTATTTTTATTTTTTTTGAGACAGTAAGGGAAATTCAAACACTGGCAAAAAACCTTCTATCACATTAAAAACGTTTTGATGGGGCACCTGCGTGGCTCGGTCAATAGATAACACAAGGGTTCACGAGTTGATAGTTGCGGAAACTGTAGAATGGGTAGATGGAAAGTCACTACTCCCTCCTCTTTTGCTTGAAATTGTACATATATAAGAAACCCTTTGTAAAAATTATGCAATCACCTGGCTTTATGCATTTGTCTTTCTTCCTCAGGGAGTTGCATCATTAGCGAACGCGGACGTTTATAAATGGAGAGCCGTCGATTCTAAAGGTATTATTAGAGTTTGAAGAGGAACGTAAAACAGTGCTTTTATAAAAATCACAGCCAGGCCCAATGTGACCAGCTTCCTTTGAGAGGGCTGAGATCATTCCAGCTCTCTGGAGTATCACGTGTCAAACTCAACTGGCCAGGCCGCCAGGACAGAGACCACAGTGGCCCCAATATCTGTCTCCCCTTCTCTGTCAGTAATAAAATCCCAACTTTTAGCTGGCACATGGCCACCCAGATAAAAGAATGTTTCCTAAGCTTCCTTTGCTCTTGGGGGTAGCTACGAGACTATATTCTAACCAATGGTCTGTAAGGGGGAGTGGTATAGAGGACTTCCTGGAATTGTCTTTAAGGGAACATGTCTCTTTTTCTGACCTCCCTGCATTCTTTCTGCTTACTGGAATGTGGTCTGATGGCTGGAGCTTGAGCAGCAAGGGTGGGTCCTGAGGCTGGAGCCACATGAAAGGCTGGCTAAGCAAGAAAATAGAAAGGGACGGGTTCTGACATGATGGAGTGTCACACAATGTTAGACGCAAATCTATGGAGAAAAATAAACTCTTACCTTGTTTTTCTCTTATTTACAACTGATTCTGATCCTAATTAATATCGTCGCTAAATTTTATTTTTATCAATTCCCTAATATTTATTGAATATTTACTCTGTGGGTTGGATCATGCTAATTGCTTTGAGAGAAGCAAGGTAAAAGTCATCGAATCAGCACATACAGGATTTTTCCATTTTACTGAAAGATACACGAATATAAGATTAGTAAGATGTGATTAAATAATAAAACTAACTAGCATGTATTGAGTACTTATTATGTACCAGACGTTGTCCTAACTATTTTACACATATTAACTAAGATAGTCCTCACAGAAAGATCGAGGGTTATTTACAGGTGAGTGTGAGTAAATAGAAGCGGCACAGAGAGGTTAAGCAACTTGTCCAAGGTCACACAGCTCATAAGCTGTGAAGACAGGACAGAGAGACAATATTGATTAGGAAAGTTTCAGAAGGAGAGATAAAGCTAGGGTGGGCTGTCACACCCTTGTGAAAAAGAGACAAGGTCCCGATTCATCCAACAAATATTTATTGAATGCTTGTTGTGGGTCAGGCACCTTTCAGGCTGAGAATGGAACAAGCATGGAGCCTAAATTCCAGTGGATATGAAAAATGCTCCTTCCTACCTCAGGACCTTTGCACATTCTGTTCCCTCTCCTTAGAAACCTCTTCTTTCTCTGACCTCCCCTGCTCATTCCTCCCTACACTGCCTGTAGCGTAGCTGGTTTCTCTTCTCCCTGAAGATATCAGCTCCATGGTCCCTTCTACCTGGAAGCCTTCTCCACCCCCCGGCACCTCCAGGATCAGATCCCTTGTATATATATTCCCATAGCACCAGGGCTAAACTATAGCAGTTAGGGACCCACAGTATTATTTAGCCTTTGTGAATCCCTTCCTCCAAAAAAAGGATATTAAAAATTCTATTTTGCCGTGGCATTGGCCTCAAGATGCATATAACCCCGGCTGGACCATTATTATATAGTCATTATTGTCAGATTCATTTTTCTTCTGGCTTTGGGAGAAATTAAAATAAAAAAATTTTTGTGGGCCCTGGAAAGTACCACAGGGCCCAAGTACTGACCCTTATTCCTCGGGGAGAAGCCGGCCGCCACAGTGCCGTGCAATTTTCCCGATCACTTATTCATTCCGACTGTAGTTAAAGACTTCCTGCAGGGTGCGGCTCAGGACTCCTGCATCTAACTCCCCTGGGGTAACACTCAGAATGCGAGTGACCCCTAGTCTCCCAGGGAGGGCGTGGCCAATATGCATCCTTAATCAAGCTGGTAGTAATCCAAATGATTACAAATGGTTGGGTTCCACTAGGCTTCGCCTGTTTAACGTCTGTCGACCCGGCTAAATAGAACTTTGCCTCTGGCCAGGACCTTTTTGCGTGTGCAAGTTTGCATTTCTGCACCAACCCGGATTCTAGCACACCGTAGGCGCGCGATACATTTTCAGTGAAGAAGAAAAACAAAAACAAAGGGAAGGTGCCGGGCCACAGTGTTTGCAAGACTTCCATTTTGTCGTGGCTGTAAGAAAGTAAGTATGGTTTCAAGGACCTGTGAGTCTTTTTTTTATGTGTAGTTATTTATTATCATCATTATTATTTTTGAGAGAGAGAGAGAGCATGCTCGCAAGCTGTGGGAGGGGGGGTGAGGGGCAGAGAGAGAGGGAGACAGAGGATCCGAAGCGGGCTCTGTGCTGACAGCGGTAAACCCGATGTGGGGCTGGAACTCACGAACCCTTGAGCTCATGACCTGAGCGGAAGTTGGATGTTTAGGTGACTGAGCTGCCCAGGAGCCCCCAAGGACTGAGTCTTAAAGGACTCAATAGACCGCCTTCCCCTAAAATACTGCCCAGCAGAGTAGGTCTGCAATCGAAGTATGCTGTTGAATGGCTGTCCGGGGGGGGGGGGGGGGGGTACGATTTTCATATATTGCACACGGTCATGATTTCACTCAGATTACAGATGAATCGGTTCGTAAATATTTTTATTTATTTGAATCCAAGATCTGGAATGCCAAAGACGTAAGAAGCCCATGGATTTTACACAGATGACTCGTTTGCTGTATTTTCCTTTGGTTAAGGTTTGGGTGAAGAGTAAACATCCTGTGTTCCTGTGTGTGGTGGGGGGGAGGCGACTTCGCTGTGAAGGCACCGGGGCAGCATTTGGCGCTCACGGGGTCTGGCTGATCGGCGTAAATCCATTTTGCTCGATAAGAAGGAAAAAGCTCGCTGAGTTCCTTCGTTCGGTGAAATCATTTCCACTTTTTCTTGTGGGATGTGCACTGGGTTTACTTTACGATGAGAGCCTTCAGGTCTTTTCAAACAACACCGAATGGAAAGCTTAATTAAATTATGCTTGTCACAGCATTGCATGTGTCCCTTAGTGGTTAGCAACGTGATAATAAAGGCAAGTCTTAATGACCCGTGTGTGTGCTGCATTTAAAAATGTGTGTGTGTGTGTGTGTGTGTGTGTGTGTGTGTGTTTAAAAACCGAGTCCTTTATTTTCGCACTTTCTGTTTAGGAGGAGGAAGAAGAGATAACCATGAGAACAGAACCGATATTAGGAATTTGGCCCCAGGAAAGAAGTTTCCAGGGAAAGTCGTAGAGTCCACGTAGGTACAATTTGACTTAATGTTCTTTCTATTTCATCATGGATGGTTATTCAGTACAGAATGAGGGCACTGAAAAAGTCTGAATTATCCAAGAAAAATGATACTTTTTCGACTCGTGGTTTAGTTTATTGGCATCCAAACCTGCTTCCTAAAAGATGACACATTTACCACTTTCCGTGTTTAAAGATGAGGAGGTATTTCTGGGGCACCCGGCCGGCTCCGTTGGTGAAGTGTTTGTCTGTTGATCTTCGGGTCATGAGTTCAAGCCCCATGTTGGGCAAATTGGGTGTAGAGATTACTTAAAAATAAAATCTAAAACTAAATAAATACATAAAAATATTCCTTGTATATTTAAAAATGTGCAAGAAAGGGCCCCCGAGGTGGCTCAGTCAGTGAAGCTTCTGACTTTGGCTCAGGTCATGATCTCCTGGTTCGTGAGTTCGAGCCCCGTGTCAGGCTCTGCGCTGGCAGCGGGGAGCCTGCTTGGGATTCTCTGTCTCCCTCTCTCTCTCTGTCCCTCCTCTGCTCACACCGTCTGTTGTCTCTCAAAATAAATAAACTTAATTTTTTTTAATTAAAAAAAGATAAAAGCACACAACAGTGCCTGAGACATGGTGACCAGCATGTAAAAGGGCTTTCCATCACAGCCACGTGAGCTGGTGACAGATTGCTCTCACCCAGTGGCTCTTGCTTCGCAAAGAAGGGGCGGGGGGTGGGGGGGCGGTCTCTGCCCACTAGGGGGAAAGTCATTCGCTAAAAGCACAAAATTTTCTTTCACAGATTTTGAAAATGGAGTCTCTTCTGCATGGTAAAAGCACCAGTTAGGGAGAGAGAAAATGCTGACTTCTCCCAGCCTGCAGCCGCCGGGAGGAGGGACTTTTAGAGCCAAAGGGACTTTTAGCTGAGTAATAAAGCAATATCCCTCGCGAACACTACCTTCCGTCCTCCTCTCCGTGATTGTAAAAGTGTAACAGAATGTTCAAGGTCTCCTAGGTATTTTACAAAAATCACTGGAGAAAGACTGCCCCGAATCATCAATTTTTAACCAGTGCTTACTGGGCATATTCTAAATAAGCCAGACCTATGTCAGTGTAATGGTTTGTCATGAAGGTCTGCAATATTTTTCCTTCTGGTGTTAGTGATAACCGCCCATGAACTACCCCATGTGAGCGACACAAAAACAATAAGATAGTTTTTAAAAATATGCTGCTTCCTAAATGACCAGGGGAAAAAAAAAATCTTTGTAAAAAAAAAAAAAGTGTGAAAGAGTCTCACACACACACACACACACACACACACACACAGGAAATTTAAAATCCCTGGTGATTGTTAGTAACATCTTAGTGGAGGAGAGTTTTTTGTTTTGAAAAGTCCCTCGTACGCAGTGCGGAGTCTGGGATTTTTTTGTTTTTAGGTGTTGGGATAAAATTAATACCATAATAAATTCAGGGAGAAAAAGAGGAAGTCATTCTACACGAACTCCAGAGCCTAGACCACTTCCTGGTCAAGTAGGTACATCCCCCGTTGTGAAAAAGGACCAGAATCTTCAAAGCAGGGGGCAGAAGTAAGATTTTGAATATTCCTGGGAATCCTAGGAATTGGAAACACAGGCTGCGGGGCAAAAGCAACAGACCCGGGAGCCTTCAGAGCCCGGACATACAGCCGGGAACGTCACACGGAAGGGAACATTTGGAGCCTGGTTACAAGGGACGGGGCGAGGAGGGGGAGGATCGGGCCTCCTCGTCAGGAGTCCTGGACCGAAGTTTGGGCTCTGCAGTTGACTGAGTTTGTGACCTTAGAAAGGCCACGGCCTCTCTGGGCCTTGGTTTCCGAATCTGTAAAATGGGCAAGTGCGCTTCCCCCTTCTACCTCGCAGAGTCGTCTGAAGATAATGTATCTGTAAAATCCTTTGAATAGTACAAGGCCAACATAGGGCGTTGTGTTAAGGAGGCGCCATTCCAGGCGTTTCCTGTATTGTTTGGACCAAAGCACTGTTTCCTTGTCTACATGATTTATCTACATGGACTTCTGGGTGTTTGTAAAGATGAAAACGGGAAACCTATTCAGAAAGTTTGGTGGTGTCATTCATAAAGTACTCTTATCTAGAGTCGTGTTTTTATTTACTTATTTTTTTCAATATTTATTTTTGAGAGAGGGACAGAGAGACAGAGACAGAGAGAGACAGAGAGAAAATCCCAAGTCGGATCCATGCTGTCAGTGCAGAACCCACCATGGGGCTTGAACTCATGAACCGTGACATCACGACCTGAGCCAAGAGTCAGACGCTCAACCGACGGAGCCACTCCGGCGCCCCTAAAGTCATGCTTTTAAAAATAAGTACCTGCGGGGCACTGGGGTGGTTCCGTCGGTTGAGCGTCTGACTCTAGATTTCTGCCCAGGTCATAATCCTAGGGTCGTGGGATCGAGCCCTGCAAAGGGCTCTGTGCTGAGCGTGGTGTCTGTTTGGGATTGTTTCTCTGCCCCTCTTCCCCCTTGTGCTCTCTCTCTCCTAAAATAAATGAAATGAAATGAAACAAATGAAATAGATAAAATAAAATAAAATAAAATAAAATAAAATAAAATAAAATAAAAT